ATATTCGGAATCGGGATCAGAAACTCAGTCGACTAATATGAATGTCGAAAATGTTACTGGATTTCCATTTTTTTGGTGAAATCTCGATAAATTTTCAACGTGAAAATTCGACAAAAACTAAAGTAGTCGCATATGATAGAAATCCTCATTAGTCGACTGAGTTTCTGATCCCGATTCCGAATATGATATTTTTATTGCATAAAGTTGAGTCCTGATGGAGAAAATTGAGAATTCTGACTTTTCCCCCTCTGATGTAGAAAAAATGAATTTTTTCAGCAACGGAAAGGAATTTCAAAATCAGCTCCTCATATTGTTTTTGCCCATGCAAAGACGAATCGAATGCAGTGTAAATCAGGGCTCCGTACCTTAACAGAAAAAGTTGGATAGGTTTGCAAAATTTGTTAGCGCCCTTTAAGGTGTTGTTGATTATGAATTTTATTGGTTATTTAGTATTGGATCAAGCTCTGAATAATATTTCTGGGATCAGTTTCATAGTATTTTCAAATTTTTTCTGTCAAAAACCGGTTTTTAAAGCTAAAACCTAGTTATTCTTAATGAGCTCGTCGAGCTCTACCGAATGATATATGAATAAGACCAAAATAAAATAGTGCTCAAATTTTGAATTGGCGGCATCTTAAAAATATAGCATTTTTTCACGAACTGGAAAAATTCTTACATATAGAATAGTCTCAATGGAATAACAACCTATATTGTGTTAATGTGTATAAAAATTGGTATCCATCGAAAAAAATGTATGTAGCGTAACATATAAAAAATTAAAACTTTCATATCGATGGCCATACAAGTTCGGTGTAAGATGGCGGTGGTGGAGCAGAACTTTCACTCTCATTTGTAGTTGGAAGTTGCTTTTTAATTTCTGAAATTGAATCATAAGCTGGTGGTGAATCTTCTATCAGAAATTGTGATGAATGTTGTGCAGGAAATTGTGTACGCATTCCTAAACCTAGACGGGAAAGAAATAATTAGAAAAAATTAATTTTTGATTAAAATAAGCAATTATATGTACAGCAGCATACCTGTTGCTTCATTCCTTCTCCTATTATAACGATATATACAATAGGTCAATATACATAATAGAAGTGCAAACGCCGTTGGTATGATAACAACAAGAATACTAGAACAATATTATACTACAGAATGAAATATAAAGCTATTAACTACTTGCGTTTTAGAAAGTTGTATACTCAAATATGACGAAGGGACGAGTTTACATAAAGAATAGCAGTACATCAAAAGGTATTTTTTACGACGTGTAGTTTACACTTTATTATTGATAAAATCGAACTTACATAATGGTTAATGTAGTTTTAGTTTCCCATTTTTTATCAAAAACTGTTATATTAAGGCCATCAGAACGGTGATGATCTATTGCCGTATTGAACATTTTGTTTTCTTAGTGGTTTTTTTTTGGCTAAATATAAGAACAACCTTGATATATTTTCTGTTTCTTGTTCTGTAAATGTCATGCACGGCTTTTCGCAACAAAAATAAAACCCTAAAATTCCAATTTAGTTTTATTCGCGTGGACGCCACAATAGAAAAGGTATAAGAAAGCAAAAAAAAATATTCTTGTAGTTTCGATAATACTATGATGGATATATTCTACGAGTAATAGTGTGTACAAGATGATGTAGGAGTTTCTCCTTTTTTCTCGTTCTTCTTCTATAATTTAAAGAATGAATCATAGAATAAATAAATATACACCATATATCTATGGTCAAAATTTTGCATTAGGTTCTGCTGTGTTCACTTCAAAATGTAGTTATTCATTTTACGCTTGATTTTTTCGTTTTGTAGTTCTGCTCTAATAAGAAACTATAACAAAATTAAAAATGCGGGTTGTTATATATTTGAACGTTTATTTAAGACTTCCCTATACTGTGTAGTTTTCTTGAATCATCACTAACTGTTCTCACGAGGGAAGGTCCCTAAGTAATCGCTTTTTGCTCAAAACATACATGATTCAAGAGTAAGTTTTGGATGACTTGAAAACATTTTACATCTCGATTTACTGCAGAGCGTGCATTTTTCACCTGTTTTTAAAATGAAAGTCCTTGAACTCATCCAAAACCGAATCTTTAGGTCTGGAAATTTTTTCATACAAGTAACTCGACATACTCTACAAAGACAGAAAGATCAAAATCTCTTCAACTTGGATTTTACAACAAATTTGAGGAGATCGATTTTCCATAGATCCACACAAATAATCCATTTGGGTCTAAATGAAGATCATATTCGTGATCAGCGTCGGAAATTACCCATAACCATGTATGTTTCAAGCAAAAACGATTGGACACTTGGGGATCTTCCCTCGTCACACAGTCTGTCTTATGAAAGTTGAATAGTTTACAAATAACATTAAACATCACCTGAATAATAAAAATGTTAAGTCAGTGATTCAAAATATTAGACATCATTTTTTATAACAGAATATCAAAATTATGTTACTTTTTATTTATTATTTATCTTATTGTCTTGTGCAAATATGATTATCGATATTATTTTACCACATAGTTGTAAATATTTTCCTAGGTAATGTGTGAAAAATCATACATGAGGCAATTGATTTACATTTATCACAACGATAAAATTAGAAAATTGGAAATTTTATTGATAAAAAGGGTTATTTCTGCTCAGATGACAATACGCTCTTTTAACTGAAAGATTTGATACCAGTCATACTATGAATATATAATTGATATAGACTCTGTTGGTATTTATTGATTTAAACAATAAATAGCATAAAATTCATATCAAATTCCTGACTGGTCGGACTTTAATTAAAGTAACTATACAATACAAAAATAAAAAATTTAATCTACAATAAATAACAAGAAAAAAATATTTTAGCCAAATGATTGCAATAGATATACAGCACAACAGTTTTGTGATAGACAATTATTAATTATTACTCAATATGTACATCATATGAAAGATCATCTTTTATTTTCGGGTGTTAAAAATATTTCAGCATAACTTGGAGGCATAGCATTATACACAGACGGTGTGATATTGGTCGATGATCGATCTATTCTAGATGGTCTGATTGGAGTCAAAAGAGGAAACTGTCGTCTTGTTTGTCCTAATGAATTATAAGAGGGTGGTAATTGTTCGATAATAGAAGGTGCTGGTGGAGTTAAACGTTGTTGACGACTGGTGGTTCGAGAAAAATCAATTTGATAGTTATCGGTGTTATTCGTTCGTAAATAATTATTTTGAATGGGCATTGACACTAAATTGGGAAAGAGAAAATTATAAAATATTTTAATATTGTTTAATGTTTGTGTATCTGTTATAAAGTATAGTATGTAGATATAATCAGCATATCCTTTAGAATTATCGTGTTGAAAAATGTAAATATAAATCGTATAGCTAGCTCAAGGATGTAAATATATTTCGGTTGTCTCATCAAGAATACTTACGTGTTCTATGAGGTTTTCGCTGATTATTTCGATATGCACAGTAGATAACTACACACACAATAATGGCTATAACAGCCGGAATTGTCACACATAATGCTCTAAATTAAGACATAACCAATGTGAACTCTATCAAAATACTAGTTGCCAAATGAAATGATTCCAGCCAGTGTGTCTTGTAAAAAACTAAAGGCACTCTGACCTACAAGTTTAGTAGTGTAGTATCATCGTAAACTTTCGATATGATTCAGATTATCATAAATACATATTTTATCAGGCATCCTGTGTTCTATGAAAAAATATCTACTCATAATTATGCAGGAGGAAGTTGATGTTCTAACTAGTCGATACCCAACGGAACTACCCATTGGCAAACACGTTGTAATCTTTGAGATTTTGCAGGTCCAGATTACAATAAAAAGATAAAAACAAGTTTGATGAATATTATAACAAACATTTTTTAGCCCGCCCCTGGGATTATAATTTTTTTTTCTCTAAAGGACACAGCTGATAAGGTAAAATAACAATGACAGAGTGTATGACGAAATCTAATTGATACTGTTGCTTTTTGATAAAATAACTGAAATAAAAAAAAAGACTATTTCCTTATGACTAATAACAAATAACTAAGAGATTATTAATACATAAAAGTAAGCCAAACTGCCTATATATATAATATAATATATATATAATATTATAGAGTATACCCCCCTATATAATATTATATTATTATAATATTAATGAGGTGATGATCTTGGAAGTTCAACTGACGAAACTATATCAACAAACCAATGACGCTGTGGTCCTAATAAATCTATCGAAGATACATCATCCGATGATTTCATACACAATGGCATCTAGGAATCTAACTTAGAAATTGTAACAGAACAGATCGAAGGACAATTTTTTAACGTTTTCTCAATGACTATATTGGACAGGCTTAAAACATTATATTTTAAGGGTTTTTTGCCCTATATTAAAAGAAAATAGGGATTTTTGATTGACCGAAATGAAGGCCGAGGAGATGTTTTTAACAAAGACCATAACAAGGTAAGGCAGGACAAAACGAAATTTATGGAACCGACTGACAAAAACGTTGTCTTGCCTTGTTATCGATAATAATCTTTGATGAAAACAAAAAATACTGTTAAGAACTAGTTCAATAGATATCCTCTGTCATGAATAAATTTGATGTTAGTCACTCTCAACATGTCCTTCAATAAATTTTTACAAATGGCAAGACTTCTGGTAAAGTTAAATGAATGTTGTTATGTTATCTATATAGCTTTTTTAAACTAGAACAATCGAGATAAGTCAAGCTTAAAAACTCTATTATCAATATATTTTTACATTGATCAGAGAGTTTTGTTCTCAATTTTTGCCTCTAAGTTTATCTCGATCAGTTAGACCCATAGTTTTATTGCTGCTTGTAAGTATTGCTGGTTAGGACTAGATTTAATTATTCCATTGGATCAATTAAGACTTCCAGTTGCATTCAGCAACCAAAAATTCTATTTTCGATCGGCCACAGATTGAAAGTTTAGGCTACAGCTAACCCTGAGATAGGACGAACTACAGTCTTTTGTCGCATTAGTAATTTGACAGCCAAGCTAAATATTCCTCTAATGTGACTAAAGCAGAAAATTACACAATAAATCGATTGTTTTTGCTTACATAATTAATGATGTTGTATCTAGGGTGTCATCGCCCATATTCTGAGAATTCTCTTATTCAAATTTTTACTTTTCATATGATTGTCCTTAATATTCGGAGAAAAAAAAAGAAGACAAAACAAAAAAGAAGGAGAAATGTTCTTCTTAAAACACCAAATTCAACGGAAAATAAAAACGAATAGATCTCAACAGAAAAAAAAAGAAAACATTTTCTTCCTTTTTTTCGTTTTTACCATATGCTCGATCGATCCTTGATGCTTGCTGGATCAAAAATATGGCCCAATTATGCATGTATGTACGAGGATAGCAGAAAAAGATTGAATAATAAGGCCAAAAGGTAATAGTTTTCAATAATGAAAAAAAATTTGTACTCTTTTTCTTTTTTTCTTCGTGTCCCGAAGAACTCAAAGAAATCATCATAATTATGTATATGACGACGCAATGTATCCATTCAATCATAAAAAAATAGAAATGAGAATAATCTTTTGTACTTTAATTTCACGTATCCCACGTGTTCTTTCGTTGTCAATTTTTAACAGTGAAACTAGTACAGGTGCGTCAAGGAAAATATACCATTATAATTTCCTGATGATCATTTATCAAGGACCATTTTACCTTACCCGTCAATTATAGTAACCTTAGATGAACCTCGTAAAATCAAAGAGGACAATTTAATCACAGTCGTACAGCATTTTTAGAGTGAAGGAGAAAATCTAAAGTTTTAAATACAGCCTCCGTCTCAGCTATACATCCTGGTTGAATGATGTCATTTGTGATTAAATTTTTAAATTACTACTTTGAACAAGATTGTCATTTATTGCTATTTCCTTTTCTCTTGTCATACATTTAAAAAAAACAAAGAGAATTGATTTTTATTTCATGAAATATTTCAGTAATAAAAGTAAATAAACAATTTAATTTGAACTTTAAGTTGAAAATGTCACTGTAAAACACTGACATTATTCTTTCAAGGTTAATATACTTCTTCAAGAAATTTTGTTGGTTATCGACTAAAAGGAAAAAGTTTTCTTGTTCCTTTGTAGTTAACAATTACTTTGATAATTCATTCTTAAAAACTGCAAAAAAAATTTGCGAGACTTCATATCAAATACGAGGTATGCAGTCAGGAGGTGCGCACATGAAGCACTGATCCACCTCCTGACATTTTATTTCGATGTATCCCTCTTGAACTTTAAAGAATGAATTAATTTAATTCACCTGTAGATCGCGCTAAGATTGCTATCAAATGTTTATTTCGAATCGCGTATCAGCTTAGGTGTCTATATATTCTACATAACATATCAGGATGAGAAAACATAAGAAAAATGTATACTTCAGCTAACATCAAAGTAAACATTCGCACTAGAGAAGATGGACTTTTTCTCTAGATACAATTATGGCGAGTTGCCTGCCAGATGCTAAAGTCTCTTCTAATCTTGTGGTTTCTGACTAGTTTTTAGTGATTTTTGATAGATAAGAAAACATGTCGTATTGATTTTCATCAACATCCAACCGAAATTTGTGACAAAGGGTTTTGACGTCATCCGTAACAAATATGTACATGGATCAAGATTTGAGGAGAAATCTAGTGAAATTCAACATCGAATTCATCAAGTTCAGGCAGTTTTTAGCAGTCGGAACTGGATGCTGTTGCACATTTTCAACAAGAAAACTTTATTTATTTGTTCACGAAAGACCAAAACAATAGCTTGTTTTCTAAAATATCACCAGCTATAGACACAAAATAAACCGATAATGTTCAAAATTGAGTTCGTATTAACAAAAGAAGAAGAAGAAGATATTTGAAGAGAGAATTTTGTTGTATTAGAAAACTTATTGTTCCATCTGTTATATCGGTGTGTATATTGCACAAGCTGTCTCTGCAATATTTCACGCATATTAATTTGTTGTCTTTGCTGAGACAATGTTGACTGATATTTTGAGATGGTGGCATTGAACATCCGCGTGTGTATTGTGCTAGTCGACCTAACAGGAAGAAAATTAAGTCAAGAGCGTACTTCTACTTTCAACACAGTGTTAAAAAAGATTATCTTACCTCCTGATGTTATTTTTTTGCTGTAACATATTTGTTGTCGTGTTTCGCAAATCTGAGTCGAACTGCTGGCGTTTGGTTGTAGTTGACAATCGCTGTTTTCCTTCTGACTTTCGCAAGAGTAACATAGCATACCTATAAAAAGCTAAAGTCACTTGGATTCAGTGAATCAGAAAGGCTACAAATTTTAAGTTTCATGCATTTACAAATAAAGAGATAGTCATGCCGTATAGAAAACAAGATTCTATAATCACCTTGGACAGGATCAAACTCAACGGGTTTATCTGGTATACAAGTATCAAACTCTGAGGCATTTCGTCGACTGGTTGTTGTTGATTTTCCTTTTTTAGATGGTGCACTCGATGTTAATGATGATTTTTTCTGTTTTGTAGTAATATTTGAATCTAATGTTATGTCCTCGTCATCATCATCATCATCTTCTTTTGATGAGTCTGATTTCGATGCTGTAGCAGCAGCACCACTCTCATAACCCTCAATCAATTCTTCACAATTCAATTTATCTTGTCCAACCCATTTACAATTTTTCTCATTCGGCTCAAAATAGGCTCCTAAAATTTTGATAATATTTGATTTAAAAGTATAGAACTATTGATACACTACTAACCAACATAACATGATTCTCGTTTTTGTTCACCCCATGGTGTTCCAACACCTCGACAAAGATAATACTTAGTGCAATCGGACGGATCTGGCCATGATCCTTCGTTATGTTCTTCACATACATCCTCGGCACCTATTTATCAAGTATCAGATTATAGTATTCATACTTTCTCGAATAGTCTAGTACATACTTGGTGCTTCAGATGCTACATCACGTTTCGGTTTTTTTGGTTTTTTCGTTTTCGTTTTTTCTGCTGGTTTCTTTATATTCTTAACATCTTTATATTAAACAAAATGATATACCTAATCAAAAGAAGATTAACGTAAATAGAATCTCACCTTTATATTCTTTTGATGGACATGCTTCGCAAATTTTTTCTGGTGGTAATAATTTTAATTGGCCATGTAATACAGCTTTAACCGTTCTTATCAATGGAAATTTGCCTTGACAACAAAATTTACCCGCAAAATCGTCACTATCAAGTGTCCAAAAAAAAGCACCGCCAAGATTCATTTGTTTAATATAGTTGGCCTATATCAAGTAACTCGATTCGAACCACCATTTGACTTATTTGACAATTTCTCTATTTACCTTATATTTCATACTTCGCACATTATCAAAACCAAATTTTGGTTGATTATATTGACCAGCTGCAAAGGGTATTAATTGTTTTTGATCCCATGTTTCTTTAAATTTTTCACAGGTAATCTGAGTACATGCCTAATTGATAGTCAATGTATTATACAATTATTACAAACAGAATTATTTCACGAATAACAGAAAGTAAACAAACCTCATAATATGATATAAAACCATTTTCTCCTTTAAAACCCGTATACGGCATTGCCGGAGTATCTCCACGACCGTATGTGGCTAAACCGACTAATAGTTTCTCTTTTGGAACTCCTAATTTTTCATAATATTTTACGGTAAAATCCTATAAAAAAAAAGAAAATTCTATTTCTTATCGTCTGTATAAGTCATGCATATCCAAGAAGATCATCTCGGCCTAGTGATTATGATAAACAAAAGGACAAAACTTACTATATGCATTTGATCACTGCTTTCTTTGCCACTTAATGCACTATGATGCCCTTTTAGAATCAACAACGTTTATAATTATACAAAAAATGAAAAATCAGCGTGCGCTTACCTGCATTTGTATCCCAGTTCCCATGATAATCGTACGTCATCAGATGATACCAGTCAAGATATCTATCAATAACTACGAAAATTGACAATATGTTCAAAATACGAATGTAAGAGTGAATAATTATTCAGAAAAAAGATGTATAGTCATTGTTGATTAGACTAACCATAGTTTTACTGTAAGAATCACTCTAACAACAAGAACTTACGGTGTAATTAAATCGACTTCATATGCTTTATCAATATTTGTTTTAGCACCGGAGACGGCTGCCGTAAGAAGTAATCTTTCATGTCCAGTGTCTTCTGCTTCTTTTTTGAAACCTTCATACAGCATCTGAAAAAAAGAAAAATCTAGTCTATTTTGTTTAAAATTATGATGGTTGTGTCTTTACTTGACACAATTTTGTAAACTTCTTTTTGTCTTCAGGTTCTGAACCCCTCCAATCCACCCCTACAACGTAAAATATTAATAGATCTATATATCAAGCGCTGTTATAACCAAACAAATACCTGGATATTCAAAATCTAGATTAAAAAGAAATAGTAAAAATGTAAATTTTGAGTATTTCATTCAAAAAAAAATTTTGTTTTATATACCTAAGTCCAGTCCATCAAATTTGTGATGTCTCAAATATTTAATTGTTGTATCAACAAACTTTTTGATATTCTTATCTTGTTTAACCATAGCTATAATGAAGAATATCACAGATAAATGGTATGTGAACATCAATAGTATCGAAACAAAATCTTACCTGAAAAGTCTTTCATACCCATTTCCTTAAAACAAGTAAATAATTTATTTTAAAATTTGCTATTCCATCAGATGATTTTAAATAAATACACTTACCCATCCACCAACAGCTAATAAGGTTCTTAAATGTTTATTCACTTCTTTCCATTGATTAAAACGCTCAAAAAATCCTTAAAATTAATAGTATGTAATATATGATAATATATTTTCAAGACATGAGTATAAGCTCAAACCTTCTATTTACCCGGAAGATCATTTTCTTTATCATCTGTGTCGTATTTTTCTGTAGGCGTCAGCTGATTTTTGTCCATTTCAGCAAATGCATAGATAATATGAGTACACAAGCATGGATCAATATCTTCGGGAACCATTGAACCACTACCAGGACGTTGATAAGCTACAAACATCGAGTTATTAACTAACATATTGAAAAAATTCAAAGAAACTTCCAGTAAACGTACCCCAGTTTGCAAAATAACAGACAACTTTGAATTTTTGATTACTTACAGTCAACGTTGCTAAAATGATATTTATAAGTGAGAGTAAAAAAACAAAACGATTAAATGTTAGAAGATCTGACTAACTGACTTTTTTCTATGTTCGAAAATCATCTCTGAACAAAAAGAATTTGGCTCGGAAGATGAATTTTCTAAAAAACTTGCCTCTTCAGCACTAGAAGAAAAGTGAACATTTCCTCATATGCAAAACATACCGTTGATCAACAGTAGTAGTAAAACTATAATCTCGTTTTCTCTTAACATTTAAAGACAGTTATTGCGAGTAGAATCTGAGTTTTGAACGATCTTTATTATTCTATTAAACAAGTAAATATATTTTGTTGTTCATTATTCACAAAAAAAAAGAAATCGACATGACATAACATAAAAATCGGGTCTATATATTAATAAAACATAAAAGAAAAGAAAGAAGTCGAATATTAAGTGATCGACAAATTAATCAACGCGCTGCCTCTCTGTCTCTCTCTCATTTGTTTTGTTTAGGGTTTATGTTTATCCCTAATTTTGATCTCTTGCTCTTTAATCAAGTAACTCTATTGTTTTCGCAAATTTTTTCGTTTTCTTTTTGCTCTTCATCAAGCACTGTACAAAAGAGATTATAAACGGTAGAAGAAGAAAGAAAGAAAGAGGGAACGAGATGATGAAAGTCGAGACAACAAAAAAAAATTGAACACAAGAAAGCTGAAAGTTAAAGATACTGAGAGTATAAATATTTCAACATACTACCGTAAAATTTGAAGATATTCTATATAATCAGATTACAGTTTAGAACTTGCAGTGTAATATTTTTTCTGTATATTGAATAATACTATTATGTGTATAGGGATAAAGTGTTGTTAACTATTTCAGTTCATTATGTCATTCCGTGCTTATCTAGTGCGTAAAAATATCCTCCTATCGTTACAAGCTGTTTAGCTAAGAATTTTTATAGTTTTTTTGTCTAACAGTATTCTAAATGAGAGCGCAAGTCCTATGTAAAAGTTTTTTTGAGTAAAACAATATTAAACCGGGATAATTTGTTAACTTTGAATATCTGTATCACACTGTTTCGATTAGTTATTCTTTTATGTTTTCATCTAGCTGGATATTGAAACTAATAATCATGCCACAAGTAATTTATATTTAAAGTATTTTGCCGTTTTGAGATGTAGACAATTTTGAATATTTACGCTGTAACTTTTGTAATGTATTTCAAATTTTGATGGTTTTTTATACATGAGTAATTCTCTCGAAGAGTTTACATCGACTTCATTCGAATCGTTAAGGAGTAAGAGGACTGGTGCAACTTGAACTTTTTAAAGATAATTTTTATCGTTTTGTACTCAATCCAACACGAAAAACGTTTTTTGTGATATCCTACGTTGAGTACATGAGAAATGTATGTGTACTGTAATCTGTAATTCATTGGAATGGCGCTGCATGTGCTCAAACTTCGAAAAACGACTAAAATCGTCTTTAAAAGTTGACGGTTTTTGTATTGTTAACTGCTTTTAAATCTCAATGAGAACAACTTCATCGGATAGAGCTTGAAAAGACACGTCGAATGTATACCTTTTTCACGTGATTTCGTGGGGAAAATATGGTTTTGCAAAACAAGCCTATTTTTCGAAAAAAATGATATTTTTAAACATTTTTTTGAGACACTCCCTAACATTTTCAAACTTTTCGTCCGTCAGAGATTATGAAGCCCTACATATAAATTCTAATCTGTTAGTACCTGCCCGAAAAGTGTTTAGTTAAAAACTGATGAAAATGTCCGTTCTACTGGAAAATAGGATCTCCTTACGTAGGAGGGGTCATCGTGCCGTTGTTTTAAAATTTTTTAAATCTGATATTTGTCATCGAAGCTCTAGTTTATACTAGTCCTGTTATTCTTTAACGATTCAGATAAAGTCGATGTAAAATTCTTCGAAAGAATTATCCGCATGAATCCACTGTTGTTGCTAATTATTATTAAACTGTGTCAATAATAACTGCACTAAACAGATTCCACTAATTATCCAGAAAGTATATAACAAACGAAATATTATTCGATATTCAATAGTAATTTCATAAGTTTTACAATCATCTAATAGATAACTGAACAACCCATCGGTAATTGAAATGAATTTTGAACGTTGATAAACTTCTTTTATTGAAAACCATGGCAGACGTCGTTTTTGATTTGTTTGGCAATGAACGTACATGAAGGAACAACCAATGGCTTTTGGATAAACGAGTGTCGATGATAGAAAAAACGTTGACAATGGTGTTGACGAGAAATATGATGAATGATCCTTTAAAATATTTTGCTTATAAAATTCAACCAGTGCACCAAGAGTCAAGAATACTGGCCAAATGAAAAACAGAAGAACTACATCGTTCGTTCGTGGCATCTTCTCAGTAATACTTTCTCATTAAACAACGTCGGAAAAAATTCTTAATATTCACCTTCTTTCACAGTTAGTTATTCTCACAATAAGCATACGAAAACGTAAATTCGTTTTATGTAATTAATACAAATCAAAAGGTGCTGTAGTGCGTGGCGGCAAACCAAAAGCCGAAGAACTGACTAAAGTAAAAGCATTACAGATCAACAACTATTCGTTTTTTGTATTATTTTGTTCTAATGACAGTTATAGTGGTGGATGTAATAAGTACAAGGTAGCCAGACAAGTACCTTGGAAGAGCTTTGAATACACCATTAGAAAGAGCTCGAAAAAACTACATCGGATTGTGTTGCGTTCGATTAAAAGTCTGTCAGGCACCCAGCAACTATTTTTTCCAACAAAAATTTTTAATAAATTTTAGTCGAAGTTATACCCCGATCGGGAAATAGGAGGTTAAGCTTTATTACTCAGAATGGGATATACTCTTGATCTAATCGCTTCCACACCGATCGTCTTTTCCATTTTTTTCTTTTCGATGCATACATTGCTTTTCCGATGTGACGACAATATATAAGTACACGTACTTCGTGTTTAACGGAGAATTTTTCTACTATTCATTCGTGCAGATAAACTGCCTTATGTTTTTTTATAAGTGAATCACAACGCTTTTTAGCAAACATTCTCCAGGTTCATTCCGAGGCATGGTCCAAAGTTAAATTGCACATTGTTCGATAGAGCTTATCGAGGCGTATCCAGAAGTGTCCTCGATTACTGATAGTCGGGCGCACAACATTTGGGCGCAATGACATTTAGGCGCAAGAACGACACAAGCATTCAGGAAGAGTGCATTTGTTAAAGTATGATATATAACAGTAAAATTTTCTTTTAAACAAGCTTGATACGGTGTGAGAGCTTCTTTTATATTACTCATATCCAACTATAATCACTGTTTGCTTAATCTTCATCGATACTCACCCTCACATTGAACTTCACTCACACTCTCGCCTTGGAAGCTCAAATGTCGGCATTCACAGAGAAAAAGGATCTTTGGAAAACTTTCTGATGTTGCGATGGAAGTTATCGGAGGACACCTCTGGATGCATCTCGATGAGCTCTATCGAACAATGTGCAATTTAGCTTTGGACCAAGCCTTGGGATGAATCTAGGAAATGTTTACTAAAAAACGTAATATTTCTTATATCTTATTAAGAAAACAGAAGCAGACAACTCGACCTTATACATGTCAAGAGAGTCGGCTACGTATTAGCGAAAAAACTATTATTTTCCAAAAATAAATGATGTAACTACCTACAAAAAGAACATGAGTTTTCTTTTCTACTTTATTGAGAAAATTATATCAGTTACAAAGACGTTACTGATACTAAAAAATAATTTATTCTACTTTACCTTCTTATGGTCAGAAAACCGGAAAAAAAGTTTCAGATAGTTCGTACCGAACTTCTTAATGGTAGCAGTAGTAGAAAAGGCCAGAAGGCAGCAATATTCTCCACTTAGATTAAACCTAATACTCGTTGATGCAAAAATTAAAGTTTATCAGAAAAAAAGGATTGAAAGAATTAGGACTACAGAAAAAAAAAAACTAAATATTTACAATAATCGAAATGATTAAAAAAACGATAATAACAAAGGTCTCATGGTTTTAAGAAATTAACAACAATGGATTCTGTTCATTTTGAATTTGTATCTGGCGCAAAACATGAATGATTTTTTCAAAACCGTTAAAACTAAAATCCTTTGAAAATCGACACTCCAACCGTAGATATTGCAAAATTTAATTTAACTGAAGGGTGCTTTAGGTGAAAATCTCCAGAGCGAGGTGCCATGTATACAGTTAGATAGAATTGATAATTAATGATAACTATAGCATGACTGATGATATTCAATAAAAAGTAAACGGGAAAAAATTCAATTACACAGACACAATGGAAGTTGCGACGAAAGAAACAAGTTAGGCAAAATGTTGTGTCGTGAGCCGACTGGAGGAAGAAGGTTCGTTCCTCAGTTTGAACCATTCAACAGATTTTAGTTATATTAAAGAAACAGCAACAGGGCCGCATCGTTTTTTACTATAATAAATACAGTCACAGCATTGGAGAAGCATAGAGAAGCGATTCTGACGATGTAAACACTATACGCAGACAGATTCAGCCAAGGTTGAGTGAATCCCAGACAAACATTACTTGTAAATTGGCATACGATTTATCCTAAAATAAAAGATTTAAAATATAGTCTAGAGGAAAAAAAATTTACTAATTAATTCTCAAACTGCAAGTTTTGTTGTTTCCTTGACTGTTAGTTTAAGGTTATCCAACACAAGGCGCCGCGCCGGTATCTACACAATAAGAAAGTGGCCCTAGAGGTGGGCAAGTTCAAGTCCGATCTTGGACTTAAGTCCGGACTTGAATGTTTTTTTGATGAACGTGACTTGAACTTGGAGATTTTTTTATCAGGTCCCTTTGAAGTTCAAGGAGTTAAAATCTTTTACTTTCAACAACGAAATGAGTATAATCTGATACCTAATTTATTGATCTGTTTTTGTCAAACATGCATCAATGTATCAATCAAATTTATTTAACCGTCATACATGATTACGACATGCCGTGTAGTACAGAAACTGCTATGAAGAGCTTTGATTCGAACTTGGATTTGACTTGGACTTAAACTCCAGCGAAGTTCGACTAGACTTGGACTTCGAAATGGTCTAACATGTCCACCTCTGGGTAGCCCATTAAAACGAAAAGAAAGCATGAGTTATCAAAAATATGGACTCAGCAATGAAGAGAGTCAATACACTAAAATTTATTGCTACAAAAGGCCCTCCTATAAGACAATTAACCATTTAATAAATATCACGTGATGTTGATGATCAATCGAATGTACATTCGATTTAATTGATACAGTAATTGTTCAATTTACAAATTCCAATGCAAAATCCGTATCACCGGATTAAAAAATTTTAAAAGCTTGTTCGGTCAAAACCGATTGCAGATTCGTCTTCTCCATGGTTGATTATGTGTTACGCAATAACTTTTGGATCGGGGTACTTTAGAAAAAAATTCCCATGGTCTTGCTCAAAAATTTTTCAAAAAGTTACCGTATGAGACCAAAGGCAAAACGATGTCGAAAAATTTTTCTAAAGTACCCCCATCGAGAAGTTATCGCGTATCACATAATCAGCCATGGAGAAGACCAATCTGCAATCAATTTTGACCCAACAGGCTTGAAAAATTTTTGGATCCGGTGATATGAATGACATTTGAAAATAAAAAGTCAACAAATAATAATGCATAACATATTTAGTTTCGATGATTTTCATTTAGTATCAATAGATCTATCAGAAATTTACAATAATCATGCGTTAAACAGTATATCAGTATACATTAGTCTACTAGTGATAAATGAAAATATATCCGTTATGAATGTGGCCAAAATATTCTATGAAATGGTCTAAATTTGATTTCAAAAATTTATTCAGCTAGTCGTAACACCTGCAGCTCGATCGAATAAAAATCAAATTTTCTGATCTAAATATTTTTTAAAAACTTACTAAACATAATAACTGAATCAATGGACATTCGGATGATACTGACAGATGTCGTAAGTTGTTGTTCATTCGAAAAGCAGTCTTTAGAGATCTGAACACGCTTACCGTCGTTCTTCTCTTTGTAATATGATCCTGCTCACCGCGAAGAGATCTTATCTGATTTATTAATGTTTATTTCTTTTCTCTTATATAGAGTCCTGCAGGGCAAACTTTTCTGTTGCCCCGAGTCCGTAAGCCCGAACCCGAACAGAAAAATTCTTGTCCCGTCCCGTAAGCTCGAGCCCGTGAGCAAATAATGTTGTCCCATGAAAAAAATTTATGGGCTTTTTTGCCCCGTCCCGTAAGCCCGAGCCCGTGAGCAAATAATGTTGTCCCGTGAAAAAAATTTATGGGCTTTTCTGCCCCGTCCCGTTTGTCCCGTAATTTTTTGAAAAAGTTTTTCTCCTGTGATAAACAGGAACTATTACAAGCGGCGCTTAAAGTCTCAAACTCAGTTTTGCGCATGACAAAATTCAAGCCTATTTTATTTGGGTCTACACTTAAAAGTTGCAGTATAAAAGAATGCTTTACATCCACTCACTAGCTCGGAATCGAAAGGAAAGAACGGTAACCTAGTTTTAGATATGGAACATCTTCTCAAGTTTAAATCCGGATTATTTCGCATCTCCAGGTTAATTTTTATTAGTTATTGTAAAATTACGGTTTTCACATGATAGTACTGGTTGGCCCAGAACAAATGGCCCTCTTCGTATTTTGCATATAATTTCTTTTCTTTTCAATCCTTAGACCTGATCGTTTTTCCAAAAGATGCGCCGTCCAATTCTCTACAGGACTTGATCAAACTTATTTCTATAACAAGTTAAGGAGAAAAATGAAATGAAGAATACTCAATACGGTGAAAAGGATCAACTTTCTAAGCTGAAATAACGTTTTGTTCCACCACTTTCATTGAGTTGGATGATGAAAAGAAGAGAATACACGCATTTTGTAGCCATTGAAAAGCTCTATCAACCAGTATTAGATGCACAATGCAAAATCAATTTTGCACCAAAATAGCACCTTTCTAGCTCGGTCTTTTTTTATTTTGATGAGAAATGATACTTGTGCCAGATTCAGCTGCGAAAGTTATCTTAAAGCTTTCTTCATAAATTCACCTGCCGAGCAATAGCAGCTTTTGGTCATCTTGAGGTGAGTTTTGGAATGTCAGATTTTCCAGTGCTAACTTAGATTTGAACGAACTGTGAACTGCATAAGGAGGAACAGCGTACTTTAAAGTACTCAAAAATATCTTCAGTTTTGTTTCATTGTCTTTAGTCTTGTTTAAAATATTCCAAAATTTGTAAAACAAAATAGCTTAGAAAGTTGATCCTTTCGTCATGTTGAATATTTTTCGTTTCATTTTTCTCCTCAACTTTTTATAGAAATAAGTTTGATCAAGTTTTGTAGAGAATTTGACGGCGCATCTTTTAGATGAACGACCAGGTCTAACGGTTGAAAAGAAAAAAAATTATAAGCAAAATATGAGGAGGGCCATTTATTCTGGGTCACTCGATATTACCAGAATTAAATATTTGAAGTTGCAGTATAATTACAATCAAAGACAAAACTTACGGGGCAACATTTTTCTGCAACTTGTCCCGACCCCGTGAAATTTTTTTCTTGTCCCAAGCCCATAAGTTTTTTTTTGTCCCGACCCCGTCTGTCCCACGGGACGGGCGGGACAGACGGGATGGGATTCGGGACCGCTCCGCAGGAGTCTACTCTTATGATCGGCTCTCCATGGCCTATCTGACGGCCATTTTCTCATCTGCTACGGACAAAGGCCTTGTCCTTGGTTCCTCTTTGACAATGTTAATTAGCCATCCTAGCGCTGTCAACAGTTTGACACACAGCCACATTCGCTGTCTAATGCAAGCTTGTTACTGGCTTGTAATGAACTAGTCATAATCAAAGAAAGTTAAATGATGTCTAAAACGCCACTTAACTTTGAGCCAATAGAATTGCTTAATGCTCCTTTAACTTTTGTAGTGTAGACAAGGCCAAACACACACAAAACTCTATTGTAAGACCCTTCACTTGATTAAAGTCGTAGAAACAAGATAAAACTGCTACTATTTGATGTAAAGACATGAGTATATCCTATTCAGAAAATCTTTCTGACTATCCTCATAAAGGCAAAGTTGGTATGCCTGAATTATGTGAAACAGAAGAAGATCTCGAAAGTAGGAACGTGTGTGTATTGTTTATGCTGGAAAGACCAGAAAATGTCTGTTTTGTTTTTAAACAGAAAAAGTTGCTTTGATGGAGCAAATGATTCGAAGTAGTCTTTATACCGTTGCTATAACAGGTGCTGGTGTTTCAACAGCGGCTGGCATCCCTGATTTTAGAGGACCGAAAGGTAAGAGAACAATATTTATTTATTTATTTATTTATTTGCTAACCATCATCTTATTTTAGGCGTATGGACATTAGAAAAGAAAGGCTTGAAACCGACATGTGAGACTACATTTGACACGGCAACGCCAACATTTACTCATAATGCTCTGTGTACACTTGAACGTTGCGGTAAATAATTAGATTATAGAAAAATAACTTCGCTAAAATTTTTATTTAATTATTTGTTTTTTAGGATATCTCCATTTCTTAATTTCACAAAATATCGATGGTTTACATCATCGTTCAGGATTTCCTTTGGAGAAACTGGCCGGTAATACCATGGTTCACAAATTGTAGTGATAAATAGTTGACATGATATTTTCTTCTTATTATCGTAGAATTACACGGAAATGTATATTGTGAAGAATGTGAATTGTGTCATAGTCGGGTAGGATTAAATTCTAATTTGAAAAAAGGATATTAAAAGTCTGATCATTTAGTTTTTAACTAACTGTATTTCTTGTTGTGATATTTTTATTTTCGTTGCAGATTGTTCACGAGCAGAGTATCGATAGTTATTGTTTAAAACGTACTGGAAATGTATGCAATACGACGAAATCTAATGGAAAACTACTTAAATGTCGTGGAAAACTCCGTGATGTACGTTAGAATATTTTAATCGTTAATTTTACTTATTTAATTTAAATGTAAAACAATCTTTTTATTTAATAGACTATTTTAGATTGGGAAGATCCGCTGCCTGAACATGCATTAAAAATGTCCGAAGCAAATTGCTCAAAAGCAAATTTATGTTTATGTTTGGGTACATCATTACAAATTCGTCCTTGTCGAGATTTACCTAAACGTACAAAAAAAAATAATGGAAAATTAATTATTATTAATTTACAAAAAACATCGCTCGATTCAATAGCTGATTTAGTTATTCATGAACGTGTCGATCATGTTATGAAATTATTAATGAATAGATTCAATTTAGATAATAATGATGGTAATGTAATATCAACGTAAGTCATTTTTATTTGCGCAGCTGATGAAAAGAGATAATAAAATAGAAAAAACATAGGTTTCAATATATTTTGAGACAATCATATTCAACAAATATTTGGCAGTGTTGTTAATATAAATCAATTGACAGTACTCTCTAGAAGAACTTTTTCTCTATAGAAAATTTGAATTAATTTTTTTTAACTTTAGTTTGACAATGAATCCCGTGGCTAATATATTCGATTCATCTCTGTACAATCATGTGAAAAGAATTGTTTTATTATCTGGTAAACGAAAATCTGGTAAAGATTATATTGGTGAAAAGTTATATGAAAAACTTAATGATGAACAACAGTGTACATTATTACATTTAAGTGAACCATTAAAAATTCAATATGCAAATGAACATCAGTTAAATGGTCAAAATATGATGGATTCATCCGCTTATAAAGAAACATATCGAAAAGATATGATTAGGTTCGATTTTTATGTTTTTTCTTTTCACGTATTGTCTCTATTCTTCATCTTTGTTTTGTTTTTTTGTAGATGGGGTGAAACTAAACGTTTACAATGTCCTTCAATATTTTGTGAATTAGCTATCAAACAAAAACATTTAATTTGTTTAACAAGTCAACATTGGATTGTCTGTGATATTCGACGTTATACAGATATTGAATTTTTCAAAAAATATTTTCATGATAAACTATTATTAATAAGAATACAATCATCAATAGAATCAAGAGAAAAACGTGGATTTATATTTAGTCAAGGTAAAAAGAATAAAAATTGTATTAACAATGTGAATCTATTTTTGTCCCTTCACATCTATTTAGATATTGACGATAGTGAATCGGAATGTCAGTTAGATTCAAATGTTGAATGGAATTTTGTTTTTATCAATAATGAAAATGATATAGATAATTTTCATAGTCAAATAAATAAATTAATTGCGTTAATCAGAGAATGATACGACTATTTTTTTTGTAGATTAGATTATTGTTCTTGTTGTTGTTTATAATGAATGAAAAATATTGACGAAAAACAAAACTTTAGTCTCATTCTACTATGATTTGATGACTCGTTCTTGGATGGAACATCGATGTCGAGTTTTTCCTTCTCTCTTTACTTTAAAGTTATTATTAAACAAAATTCAATAATAATAACATCATCAATAACAGACACAGAATCTGTAATTGATTAAAATTAAGAAGACGATGTGTTAAATACAGTTCAACTGTACATTGAATTATTTTAAGCAATTTCATTTTTACAAGTTCTGTGCATATCAGAGAAAAGATCGACTCTGCCATTGGAAAAGCTAAAAATTATGATGATGCAAGTGTTCAAATTCGAAATAAAAGTGAAAATATTTTATGATAAAAATATAATGATAAGAGTATCATTCAAAAACGAAGGCTAATGACTACGAAGATCGTTTTCAATATATCCTATTTTATTCAAGTTTAGATTAAAGATACCTTAAAAATCAATAATCGATCTGAACGAACGTAAGTATTGCACGCACTGTCAAAAAATTGACTGCTATCTCAGTTACGGTTGATTAATATTTTAACTTGATGACCTATCTATTAATCGATCTTTTTGCAGATTTTAGACCAAAAATAACTTATACCCACTCTAACGTTGCGCGCAATACTATCGCTGTTCACTTCTAAAACGAACAATCCAGTAGCGATAAGATAATGTGATGTATTTATTATCCTTCTTTTTATTATGTTCAGAGAACTTATTAATTGTCGGTAAGGATAGCCCAATGGGTATCGAACCAACAATAATCAATAATCTTGTTTTCGTAACGTCACAACATCCGACTATACTGAAAACAACACCGATACTGTTTTAAGCATTTTGGACAATGAAATAATTGAATATTTATCATAGTTCGATTTTTACAGAAAATCTAAGTGATAAGAGATAGATATGGAGAAGAAACTTTCTGAAGTCAGTTGCGATCTGATGTATATGTTACTTTGTTTGTTGATCTTTTCTGGTTGATTATTCATTTATTTTTTATTTATTTTGTTTATGATAAAAACAAAGCACAATACACTAGAGAAACCACCATTGGTCAGTTTTCAATGTACAAAGAATCAAACGATGAAATTAAAGAAACTTTTTGTAATCCAACTGGGAGATCAGTGGAAACGAACTGCTGTTGCATCTCAACCTTCTGCTACTTGTCAATGATCTGAAATCTTTATCCTAGATTTAAAAGATGTAGAATTTTGTTTTGCTTTCAGTGAATGATATGTTTGGCTCAAAATAAATCTTTATGGTTCCTTTAAAATGGTCAACATACTAACTTGTATCATACTACAACCACAAAAGTGCTCTCTTCTAACGAGGGAAGGCCCCCGACTGTCAAATCGCTTTTGACGTAAAACTTAGTGGACAATGGGTAACCGAGCATGCTGATTCCGAATATGATGATGGTTTTTGCCAGTGCGTCTTTGGAGACCCCAGTTTTTGAAAACTGGATTTTCGCAATGAAAAGCTTTTTTGATCCGTACAAATGAAAGCGCATGCTCTAAAACGTACGCAAAACCATTTTTTAAGGTTTTGGAACGGTTTTGAACAGTTTTTAAAGGGTCAAAACTTAATACTACAGCCGAAAAACAGCTTTTTACGTTCAAGTTTTTAGTTATGCACGCTTCCAAAACCTTAAAAAATAGTTTTGCGTAGGTTTTAGAGCATGCGCTTTCATTTGCACGGATCAAAAAGAACTTTTGATCAAAATAGTTTTTCACTGCGAAAACCCAGTTTTTTAAAAACGGGGGTCTCCAAAGATGCATTGGCAAAAACCATCGTCATATTCGGAATCAGTATGCTCGGTTACCCATTGTCCACTAAGTTTTACGTCAAAAGCGATTGACGGTCGGGAGTCTTCCCTCGTAAGTGTAATGTTTAAAAATAATCATTTGGGTACTAAAAGGTTCAGCTTTCTAACCTCTATAAAATTCTTTGAAATAGACTAAATAATAGTCTTTAGTGTCGCAATAAAAAAGAGTAAATTTGAATATAGTTTTTTCAAATACAGCTTAAAAGGTAAAGATATTATTACGAAATTCTTTTATATAGCTCAGAATTTAGAAAATACTTTACACAGTGGGCAACTAAGCGGACATTAGGCCAAAAAGTCGATTTTATCTATCTTGAAATACAAATAGTGCAAAATGTAGCTCTTGAAATTCTCTATCGAATGGTGTATAAACGTCTATTGTGAAA